AGCAATCAAACCTTTCTACAAATTATCCCTAAACCTAAACCTCTCAGGCACTCCTAGCAGCTAACGTCATGGTTCAAAGGGTCTGACCGCAAGGTGGCAAGTGTTTTCGCTAGAAAAAGACGTATATGGCCGGTTAACAACACTGCGACAGGATACTTGTTACACGTCAATGAATATAGTCACAGTCTTTAACCTCATACTGGCATGTTGACTAGAGCCACATTACGCAAGTAGTTAAACAGGCACTTCAAGTTACTTTTATATCTGAACGTACCGCCACATTATATTTACTCTTTAATATTAACCTTACCATTATATTACCTTTATATTACCGTAATCTTGCAGACTCATAATTGCAGTCTATCATCGTATTACAAACCATACTCTCCACACCAGTACATTTCTAGCTTTGGACACTATACATGTTTCAGTCAGTTTCGCATTGCTTGTAACGCAACCTGCGTGTTGAGACACATATTTGCCTGGAAAATTTTGTCCATGCCTTATTTTGTTTGCCCCGACACACTCAACAATACAACCGTTATTTGTTTTATTGAGTTTACTTGACGCGAGAGCCTTATCGGTCTGGTTCACCATTTTTATAATCCACAAGACAGACCATTCCCAGAGCCTATCCAATACCCTTTGAAGATCCACCGGACCTCCACTCGTATCAACCATATTCCAGCGCTTTGGGTCATCAGCAAATAAGAGCGAGGGTACCCCAAGCTCCCACGGCAAGTCACTCAGGTAGGCTGCGAACAGCAAGGGAGCTAGGACAGTGACTTGCGGAACAACGCTAAGGACAGCTTGTCGAAGGGAAAGACAGCTTCAACACGAATACACTGTTCGCGTCCGTAAAGCAAAGCTGACTCGCACCGGAGAGCGCAACCAGGCGTTCCATAAGACCATGCCTTCAGTTAGAGTGGCGAACGAAAGAAGGGTCAAAGGCCTTGGCGACGACAATGAACACCACATTCACCGCGTGTCTATTGTCTACGGCTTAAGTCTAACTCTCATGAGCTACCAACAAGTTCGTTTGACACGAACATCCTTTGCGAAAACCACGTTGCTCGACGCTAAGCAGATAAAAGTTATTCAAATGGTTCGCTACTGTAGCTCATACTAATTTTTCAAGTAGCTTAACCACCATGCTAGTCAAGCTGACAAACCTGTAATTAGCCGGTAGAGCTTTGTTACAGCAGTTGTGAATCGGACAGACAACAGCCTCCTTCCATTTAGCAGGCAAGACCCAACTGCTGAGTGACATCTGAAACACACAAGAGATCCACTGCGTTCCACTGCCAATTCGTGCAACTAATATGGAGGAACAGAAGCTGGCCCGTACGCCTTGGTTGGGTTCACCTCTCTCAGCAACCGGATAACTTCAAACTCAGTTACAGGAATTGCATCCGGACAACAGTCTTCAGAGGTCCTTGAATCGACTTGTCTGCATGGCGCATTTGTTTCGCAGACAAAGACGCTTGAGTACTGCACAGCAAGTACGCATGTCTTGTCCTAGTCGCTACAGGAATGGGTCCCATCTAGAAGTAACGGTGGGATAGGCACGGCTGCACCACAGCGTCGTTTAACGTAGGCGAAGAATATCTTGGGATTTGTCGAGGCAGCAGCAGCTAAGCCTATTTCGTACTGAAGCCGTGCCAAGCTAAGATGTGGCTTGCACAAATTTTTAACCAACCGATAACTGTCAAATGTGCTGCTCGACGGAGCTTGGGGATATGCTTGCCAGCAGCTAGACCGCTTCTTTAGCAGGCCCTTCTACGCGGAATCCCTATACGAAGGCTGCGCTCTCTATTACCTTATTTTTACCAGTGTGTTGGGAGGGGCAGAAATGTCGACGAGGTGAGCCTTAAGGTTTTCCCAGGCTATGCGAACAAAGTCGGTCTCAGATATCGCACATGGCAATGCCCGAGATTTTTCTTATATCGCTTGGAAGTCCGCGGTCCTACTGTTCGTACATAATGCCATTTACAAAGCCAAACGACTTAGAACATAGAAGGTCTAAAATGGACGACTGTTGTTAGCTCATGTACCTAGTGGGGTGTTCTACGAACTGGCGTAATGGTACCTGCAGCTTCAACTCCAGCAGTTCTGCACCGAACGACCCCAGCGCCGAACTGCAAGATCGAGCATCCCAACGAAATGCTGGGAGGTTGAAGTCTCCCTGCACCAGATACTTGGTCGCAGAGTGAGTGCGTATACGATCAATGCTTCCACTGGAGATGTTCATAGGGCTTCCATACACTAACACGACGGTAACCTGAAAGGAAGAAGCGTAAATCAAGCCTGCTAGCGCCTCAATAGGTTTGTGGAGTATAAAAGCAGGTCCCCAATACGTCGATGTAATAACTGACTAATATGGCTACACCGCCCCTTGACGGCCAATAGAACGGTCCGCGCTGAACATTGCGTTGTCAGGCAACTATACAGCGCCATCAGGGATTTATCTAGTCAGCCAAGTTTAAGTGGAAGCAGAAATACCTGGAAATGAGTTGTATACGAGCAGGCCCACTTCGCACAACTTATTCCTCAGGCTAAGCATGTTACTAATTACTACCTGCCGGACTTCGACACGACCAGCCCTGAGTCCTGCGCAGGTAGTATCGGTTCTGGTAGGATGGAGAAGGGTCGCCGGCTGACCACCTAAAAGCCCACCAATCAAAGCGTTTGCAAGCCAGCTGCATGCCGGGCTTTTAGGTTGTTGATGGCTTCCTTTAACTTTAACTTATCCGCTAACGGAAGATCTGGTTGCACACTAAAGTTGGCATCTTTGAGCTTAAGGCAAGTCGAAGTAACCTTGCGCTGTTTTGGGGTGGGGAATACTACCCTAAGCAGAAGGGTCGAGGATTTGGTTGACTTGCGGGAACGTTCCTCAACCTGATGAGCTTCCTGACAGTAACAACAGGGAAACCTGGTGGTAAAAGCCTGGACACGCAAACTTGAAGCGAACCAAGATCATCAAGCATGTGCTCCATGGTAAGAGCAGAGGCAGACACAGTGACGCTTAGGCATCTCACAGTGCTATTTGTGTAAGTAACCGTAGTTAGCACTTCCATTTTTATAATCGCATAATGAACGGGCACATCGGAATGTTAGTGGTTGAAAAAGTATTCATATGGTGGATTAACCACGTCCTTATTGGAGGAGCCTGTTGTTCGCATAGGTCGCAGGGTTGCGTCACACGACTTGATGTATGCAATCCACCGTATATTGTCTGAAGATTACGGAACCACCCACTGAACCTGTGAGCTTGTAGTCCGCCGCAAGGAACTAGCAGAGTTTGCAAACTTCCTATGGGTCGTTGGACGACAAGACATAGAGACAGGAGTGGCCCTGAAAAGGGTCGTTGCTCCGTTCTCTAAGGAATGTTGAAGGTAGGGGAACTGGAAGGCAAAGGAAGACCGGACACGGTGCTTTGGTAGGAGACGGCGAATGCACGTACGTCACAGAGGATCTGAAAGAGAAATCAGGATGGACGAGGAATGTTACTTGTGGCCAGGTATCATTGCAGCATCACACGGCGGCGGCGGTACGTAGAAGGAGGCTCTGTGGCAACGTGAGGTCGGAAGTCAATGGGCAGAGCATGTCATTGTGGCTCTGAAAGAGAAGTGAGCATTGAAGATCTATGTTCCTTGTGGCTAGGTATCAATTCTGCACCAAATGGCAGCGGCAGTACGTGGGAGGAGGCCCTATGGCAGCGTGAGGTCGGAAGGCAATGGGCGGCGCATGTCACTGTGCCTCTGAAAGAGAAGTGAGCATCGAAGATCTGTGTTACCTGTGGCTAGGTGTCAATCTTCCGTGTTACAGAACGGAAGATGTGAACAACGCCGCTGCATGTCCCGCAGTATCTGTACCCGGCAGAATACGATGTTCGCAGTGGGGTAGGCATTCCGAAACGCCTTCACCTTAGCGGTGCACTTGTCAGTCACCAAAGTCTGAGCACGAGCATCCTCGGGGGCCCAATCCAACATACACCTTACTGCCTCTTCGTAAGCAGCCTCGGCCTCATTTGGCAACAGCGCGTAAAAAAACTCATACCAAGTCCGGTAACGTCCACAAACATGCAGTGCCATAGGGTGTAGCCGCCGTAGTTTATCTGATATGTCGAGTCCGCCAAAATTACCTCCCCACCGAACTCAGCATGCCCGAAGGACGAAAAACAGGTACCGAATCTCATTCCCCTCACGTATAATTTTGACCTGACCATTTCTTTGCAACAGCTGTGTTACCTCCTCGGTGACACAAGCGTTACGATGACGCCGCCGTATGTCATACAAATCCCGCCTTGTTAAACGAATGTTATATTGCTGTTGCACAAACGCACACATTTCCTGCGTCCGACGAAAGGTTTTTATTAAGTTCAGCACTATGCTTTCCTGATCTCCTGTTAGCCTCCGAGTTCTCGCATACAGCCAGGGCGCCCCAAAGTGGAAACTGTGCGAATGCCACAGAAACGCATTCGCAATCTCGTAACATTCTCCCTTAAACGTCACAGAAAGGCGATCAGGACACTTATAAAAGCGGTACCTGTAGTAATCTTTTCATCAGGCAGATACCATGCACGTACCGCTTTCTAATAACATTGCTGCGCTTTCGATGCACACGTACAAACAGAATATACCGGCACGGGCATCCTTCAGGTAGCACCTGTCCGGTCTCCCTCCTGGTACACCTTCGCAGTTATAATGTTGCGACGAATAAACGATGTTGTCGTTTCAATCTGAAAAACTGATCTGAAAAACTTTCAGATCACCTTTCACAGATACGAAGTCCAGATAAGGACCCTTGAGTATACGTCGGAATACAAGCGAGTCATCCACCATGGCTGCTACGCGTGAAGCGGAAAAATGATTAACCATCGTAACGCATTTAAACCACTTAGTATATTGATTACTAATTGAAGTCTTAGCATTTCCACAACCATCCTAAATTAATAATAAACATTCCTGTGCGTTCAATGGCCCAAAATTTACCTCCAACCACCTCCAACCGTGTGTACCGAAATCACACTGCCGAAGATTCATTAATTCCAAGTGGCGGATACGACGCTCCGGAGCACTCCATACTGGCCTGATGCTCCATTCGGATGAGCAAGTTCTCTTCAGCCTTCACATTTGTCAGCGTAAGACAACTAGTACATAGCTTTGTATTATGTATCTTTATTTAATCGCTTAGTAGAATCTTTAATATTGTTTCTGTATTTTGTGCGTCACCAATCCTAAGTTAGAGCACCCACCGTATTTTTCATTGGTTCATTGGATAGTAGAGAGCATGAGGGAGAACCCTTGGCAGCTCCATCGCTTCCCGATCACTGATAGGATACTCGTCATCGCGCAACGGAAACTCCGGAGAGGCCATCGCATTCGTCGCTGAAGCAACGCGATCCCGGCATATTCAACAGGTGTGAATCAAGTAGTCGTTTGAAGCAATCCTCAGTCTGTGCATCAACGGCGAGCGGCGGTAACCGGTTCCAGTTATTCACAACGCGAGTGGATAGAGCAAGAATGGGCCGTACTTTGAGCCTCCGTGGTTTGAATATTATCCATCGGTAGCCTCTAGTCGAACTCCCAGTGTTAAAGTGGAGGAATTCTTGCGACTCTCCCTAGCTCTCCCCTGGGGATACGACGGCTAAGGATCAAGTCCCCACGCCGGTGACGGTAATCCATAGAAAACATGTTCAAAGGTCGAAGCTGAAGGGGATACGTCAGGTCACGTAACTCGGAGACAAGCTTCGATTCACGCCGTTGGACCTTTTCGATCATGTCGCGCTTAAATTTGGAAAGCGGGTAGGCAGCACGGAGGCCGTATTCCAAAATCGGGCGTACATGCGAGGTGAACAGAAATCTAAAAAGTTCCGATGTCAAGCGACAGTAGGCTCTTCGGATGGCGTGAAACATCCTGTAGGCAGCGGCAACCCTCTTCATGGTGTCCTGAGTGGATTTTAAGTCTGGGGAAACAATCGCCCAAATCTCTCTCTGAAGTGACATTTTTGAGTGAGAAACCACCTGTGGTAAGCGCCCAAAGGTTCAGGAGCGCCGATAGGCAGGACGGAACATTTGTCTTGATTAATGGATAAACATCACCGAATCGACCAATTTTGCAGACGATCGAGCGTCTCTTGTAGTCAATCAGCATCCTCTTTAGAGGATACCTCCTTACATGTCTTCAGATTCTCCGCATAAGTTAAGCAATCCGATTGAAGCTCAGACGATAGATCGTTGATGAAGATGTTGAAGATTTCGAGACGAGGACGGAGCCCTGTGAGACACCGCTGGTCATATGTAGAGGATCGGAATGCGTTTCCTTCACTCTCACTAACATGGAACGTCTGTGCAGGAAATCGGAAGTCCACGAAAGAAAGTTTCCAGTGACGCCGATTCCTCGGAGTTTGTAGAGAAGCTGTTCATGCGGGACCTTATCAAAAGCTTTACTGAAATCCACGAACACAACATCCAGGCGTTTGCCAACCGCTCGAGATGAACCTGAAGCGCCCGTTTCAGGACCCGTTCCATGATTTTGCGCACTATTGATGTAAGGCAAATGGGCCGGTAGCTAGCTGGGTCTTGCCGATTCCCTCCTTTGTATATGGGCTTGAAGATGCCAATCTTCCAAGCGGTCGGGAGAAGTCCGGAATGAAACGACCGACGGAAGACCTGCGTGATAGGCGAAGCAATCTACTGGGCCACAGTCTTGAGGAACAAGGGGTGCAAGTCGTCATGACCAGGCGATGAGTAAGGATCCAACTCACAGAGAAGTTTAAATACTACGTCAGTATTAATATCGACGTGTTTTAACAAAGAAAGGGGGAGTGCACACTGGTCTGTCAGAGAACGACGCTGATGTTGAGTACACTGAAGAGTATTGCCGCGCCAGGAGACTGGCTTTGTCGGTGTCTTCGTGAACTGGATCCCCGGGCTCGGAAGAACACAGAGCAGGGATACCATTGCTCGCTCTAGTGCTGTGTTTGAGGTAGGAGAAAAGCGTCTTAGTAGTCTTTTTAGAAAGTGTGGCTAGGGAGAGTTCATATTGTTGACGTTTCTCACTTTTTTCAGGGTACAGGTATTCCTAACCGTTTTGTAACCGATGTAGTCATGCTCTGATCGTGTGATCCTAAAGCGGTCCCACAATTTACGTCTTCTGTTCATTAGGGATCTCAATTCACGACCGATCCACGGAGCGCCTCTAGAGAGCGGTCGCATTTTAGAGATGGGGACTTGTTAACTGAGTGATGTCAGCTTGGAGTACAAAAGATTCCAGGCACCGTCCACATTGAGATGTTCGGGAATACATCAATCCATAATACCTGCAGCCGTTTTAAGACGAAGGGCATCAGCGCGCCAGGAATTTCAGTGGACGGCACATGGGTTGTGAATGGTAAAGCGACGAATCCATTGGAATAAAATAGTACAATGATCGCTTTTACCAATGGGTTGAAAGACTGTTAGATCCATGACATCTGACTGCGCTGGGGAGAGCACAAGATCCAGGATATGAGGCGACTGGTCGGCAAGAATACGAGTCGGCATGGAGACATGTTGCTACAGGCTGCAGTCGAGAACAGTATCAAGTAAGGCGGCATCAAAGGAATCAGGTGGACGATTGCAAAGAAGGAGGTCCCAGTCGATATTTGGAGCACTGAAATTTCCCAGAATAAGGCAATCCTTTCCAGCACCGTGTTACTTGATCAGTTGCAACAGGCGAGCTCCCGCCCCCAGTGGCGCTCTGTAGATGACACCAATCAAAGATCTGCACACGCCATGAATGCGGCACCAAAGAGCATCGAAATCGCTGTCATTGTCACATGAGACCTCAACTAGATGGGACTTCAGATCCGCCTTCCAGTAAAGTATCACGCACCCTCCTGGCTTCCCACGATGCCGGTCTGCCAGAGAAAGGTGGAATACAGGGATGGACATTTCAAATTCAGTAAGGTCTGGCAGTAACCATGTTACGGTGAAGGCCATTAAATCAGGACATTCAGGTGCGGCAAGCGTCTTGATCTCCTCAAGTTTATTTCGCAGACTACCTACATTAGCGAACAGCACACGCAGTCCTTTCTTCTGCTTTACTGTCCTGGGGTGACAAAACTCGGCCTCCAACGGGTTCTCAGAGTTTTCCGAACTGCGCGAAAATCCACGATATGTAAGTCCGTTTCACCACTCTCCCGACGGGCCCTCAGCTCATCAACAGCTTTTTTCATTTTAATCCGATCTTCCGGGGAGAGATCTCTCAACACATAAAATGGCTTGCCTTTGAGACGTGAGGTCCATAGGAGAATGCGTCGACATTCCTCCTCGTCTTGGAACACAACCTTAAGGGCGCAAGTCTTGAGGGAATCTTCTTGTTTTCTACCTAAACAGAAAGCCGAGATAATGTTGATTCCCTGTTCGCCTTCGTCGAATAACACAGAGATCAGTCGTTCTAGGAACACTTGGTCATTTAACATCCTTCCGGCTGGGGCATCTTTGGTCGATTCAGGCGCATTCATGATGATGAGACATCGGTCACGGGAGGGTGGTAGGGTACGCCTAGTGGTCTGCGGTTGGGAAGGATTCGCGCTGTCTTTGATCAACGATTCCAAGTGGTTAATCTTGTCAAGGACAGGTTTGGACTGGGACTGAGGGGAGGAAGGCTTGGATTTAGACTTCGACTTAATCTTAGCTTTATACATAGCTGGGATGTGTACACCAGAGGCGGTGGTACTTTCCTTTACAACCGATGCGTATGTCTTTGTCTTGGGCTCACTGTGATGGACGTATTCCAATGGCTCGGAGAAAGAATCAGACGGCCCGCGACTTTGCTTGCCTGTGGGGGGAGGTTGGTGCGGAGGCAGAAGGGGGAGAATGAGGAGTAACCACGGGGACCTGGGTGTCGGGTGCTTTGGGTTTTGTTGGAATGGGACGATGGCTGACCGAGGAGAGCCCATTCACAAGACTCCTGTTGTTTAACGAAGTACGCAAGACATCACAAAAGAAAACAATAGCTGGAGAAGTCATCAGCGGTAGTGCTTCGTACTGATCAGGACCGATGCCACACCTTGGCGATATGCATCTAGCCGTCACATCCAGAGCACTGCACGGCTTTTGAACGAGAAGTAACACCTTTAGCGCAAGACACGCATTTGGACGCCATAGAAGATGTAGTCGACATATGTAGCGAGTGATTCCCCAGAAAACAATCTCTATTCGCTTTTCCTCACTAAAAAGACTTCAGTGGACCGGAATGCTCAGTGGGACGTCGCTATTCCATCCAATTTAAATTCACCATACCCTGTATGCTAACTGCGATGAATGTCCGGTTTACTTTGTTTTTTCTGCACAACGTTCTCGAAAACATCACATGAACTACTTTTGTTCGTGTTTGCCCCATCGGCACGAGTGACCGATAGCCGTCCGATAGCATTCCGCTGACCGTCCGATAAGCGATCAATCTGACGCCGGACGGGACATGCTTTGTGATGGAGATCGGGCTGTCAGGTCAGAGCGAAGCCGAATGGACGTATACCTTTTGTTTAAGCTCCTTATTACTTATCTTTTTGGGGCATTGCCGTTGCATACAGCACTCAGAAACTCGTTAGTAATCAGAAAAGTGGCAGTTATCAAAAATATATAAAGTTTAATGTTGAAGGAAGGGTGTACGGTCCTAGATTGCTCTGGTTGTCGCTTACCGACGCGTTGGATCCATCGTCTCATGCTGTGTCTCTTTCGCATTATGGCGTCTGAATTAGTTTAGGGTTAAACATGTCTTATGCTTACCCGTGATACAACACACTTAAGGAATGCTCGCGATGCGATATTTTTGACTGTCGCCAATTCACAGCACATGACAACATGTTGCTCATGGAAATGACAATGAGCTTAGGCACCACGTCAGATATCCGACGTTCTCGTTGTATAACCATTTCCCACGCACAAAGGAAAAATGGACTACCTGGATACAGACAATATATTCACTTTTACCATTCAGGACGTAAAAGTAGCATTCTCCAATTCAACGTTACACTTAATCAAGTCGCCGACCGAGTCCATAGCTAATTGGTACAGGCACACTTCGGTGCTCTCTCAAAGCGCCAGAATACGATGCAGCTTGATGCGTGGCCAACCTATGTTCGCAGTGCTCCTC